CCCCCCCCCCCCCCCCCCCCGTCTCCATCTTATGTGTAGGGGATGGGCGAGTCGAACGCCGCCGTGAACACCCGGCCACGGGTCAGCAGAGAAACCATGCTCGCGGCAGCGGCGGCGTACCAAGGTGAGGAGCGCATATCCTTTACCGATCGACCGCGCGGGGATTTTGGCGGCAGACGCACAACAAGCGGTAGCCGCCCCCGTGAACAGGAACACACTCGAAATCGGTATCACTGGGACGCATTATGGTCATGGACCCATCGCGGCTGTTTTGTTTGGCGTTTCGGCCGCGTCTCCGTGCGGTCTTTAGCAGCACTTCCCAGGGAAGGGAGTGGATGGTGCAAGCGAGCTATCACCACGCCGTTTGGCGCGCCTGTCTTTCCGAGGAAATGTCGTCTCCAAGTTAGTTGTGTAGCACCTTCTACTGCCCGAAGGGTTGATTTTCTGTCACTTCCTTAGTTCTTCGGACAAGTATCGCTTCGGTACGGAAGTCATCGGTGGGCTAGCAGGCTTCCAATCGCGTGCCAAAGGATTCCCCCAAGAACACACACTGTTTACAGGATACGGCTCTTTCGCATCCACCCACCCGGAACGTCAAAAGCCCTCGGCAGTGTAGATAACAATCAGCAGAATCCTTGAAGGGAACTTACTTCCTCGAGACGCTTGAATGGTTTTGACCACCATCGATCACCACCCCCTTCCTTCTCGTTGGTCTACCCCTTGCTGCTTCGGTCCGATTCATCGATTGACGGTTTCAAGAGCTATACGGAGAAGACGATGGCACCGTGCAGGCCACCTTCCAGGTGGTGTACATGATCGGGTGGGCGCCACACGAGTCTCAGCCACAGCCGAAGCGGAGAGGTTCTGGCCAGGTGAACATCGAAACTAGTACTAAATATCATAAGACAAGAATGCCTGAAAACGTTCCACAAGCCTAGAATGTATCTATCGTACCATCTGTCCACGGCGGTTTGGCTATCCTGTTGTCCCACCACTGCCCTCGTGTTCTCTGGGTAAACGTCGTTGGCGGATCGAACCGTACCGTACCGTACCGTACCGTACCTAACCCAACTGAGCAGGCCTTCAGTGGCTGTGATATTTTGGTCGTAGTTTTCGAGTTACCCCGGCGCTTGAAAGCAGGCCGGAAACTGTTCACCACGACCAGAATTGGAGCTGAAGTCCGAGGCACTTCGATGTGCGTACCGCTCTCGGGGGATCATAGCTCTCTGGTTGGGTCCAGCGCTGCGGCGCTCACGCGCAGACGACGCTTGGCCGATTGCTCATCTCGACCTGTCTTTTTCTTCCCCGCGTCCTCTTCCTTTGCACTCCTCCTGTCCGTCCCTACCCACGCGACCACGCCCCCCGGTCTCACAGGCAAGGATTGGAGATGTCACCGTGACGCAGTCGGAACCCCCTGAGGTTTGAGATAGCAGGGCCACGCGGGCCATCCGTCTGATGGCTCTTTGCCTCCAATTGTCGGCTTTGCCGGCGCTGAGGATGGGAATAGTTGGAAGAGGAGGGGCAATCGATCGGCGCCCCTCTCTTGTACATATCCGTGACCGCCACTAGGCGGCACACTTTAGCGTTAAAGCGGGGTTGTTTGGCGGCTTGCGGACGCACCGTCACAGTAGGTGCTGTTGCTGGCGTCGCGTATCTCCACGAGAGCGTGTTACTCTAGCGGGAGTTAAACCACAGCGGGCTAGGGAGGGTGTCTGGGGAAGATGTAAAACCAGTGGATTTTTCGTCCGTGTAACCTTGAGACCACCCGCCAGGCTTGGGGGTGCCGCAAGAAGACAAGGTGATTGCGTCATAGAAAAGGAAGGCCAATCCGCAGCGGTGGGCGCCTCAGTTGGGACGGCTTCGCCAAAGTGGGTACGCTCACCATCACCCATTTAATGGGATACAATGTGCCTTGTCGCTATCCTCTTGTACGAATCCCGGCGCGGTCGCGGAGGCAATGTCCGCAACTGCGTTCAGAAATGCTCTCGGCGGCTGTTTTTGTCACATCAACCGGATCAATCCGGCCAAGTTTTGATCGAGGCAAAGACCGCCGAAACACCAGCGTCGAAGAGGTGATTGGATCGCTTTTCGAGTATTTCACTGCCAACCTGTGGTCGCGGATCCAGTTGTAGAAGTTGGCAGTCAACCAGCAACGACTTCCATCATCATGAGCACGTTTCCAAGAGTGCATGTTGGACTACATGTAGATATGCTGACCCGATGTAGAGTCGAGGTGGACGGAACATTCCACCCGCTCCAGAACAACGACAAGAGGTATTGTTGCTGTCTTCCAAGGACAATGTCCCGGAAGGACATCGAACATCATCGACGACACGGCTTCGCTTGGTTTGATATCAGAGACCTCTGGGTTCGGTCGATTTCATCGCCCCGTACTTATCACGCTGCCAATCACCCCGTTCGCTGCCACCAACACTACATTGGTAGCTCTCTATAAGGCGGCGCGAAATGCCCCCTGACCGACGACGCCGACAAAGTGGAACCTCCCCATCAGATACCGCATCAGACCCCGCACTTGTTGGTGGGGTTTCGACCACCAGCGTGCCCCTCATAGTATAGTCCCTCTGAGTCCAGTTTTGTCGGCTATTGCTGAGTATGGAGCACCAGGGGATCCGTCCTCGCTTCTCCTCCTCCGATTGCGTCGGGGTCGGAACTTCCCTTTTTACCCTCATTTGCATCACGGGAAGTCGCGTCGCCTTTGTCCGCTCGTTCCTTCCGGTTGTTGGTGCTGACCACCATCATCGTCTCTTTGTGCTTTTGTCGTTGTTTTCGCTGCCATTCTCTGTCGGTGTACGCTCATTGTCGGCAAGTTTGTTGTCGCCGGTGTTGATATTGCCCACATATAGCGTAGTTTCTGCCCCTTGATTAGGCGTAGCCTTTCTTGCTCCTGGGCGGTGTAATCTGCCCTGACCAACTTCCCTTCGAAGCTACCGACATACCAGTTCCGTCGCTGCTGACTGGAGTTCCGGGCTTATGTTTTCGTCCTGGGACAGAATAGAGGGGGGGGCGGGGTTATGTGGGCAGCAGAGAGTGGGAAGGTTAAGGTTTGCTGTACATTCCGCGCGTCGGAATGAAGGTGGCGACCGGGGGAAGAAGATAGCGACACATTTTTTCTCTTGTAGCCTGACCGTACATCCTTTGACCTTGTGGAGTGGAAACGCCGGCCGGGGCAGATGGAGAGTATATCAACAGAGCCCAGCAGCTTTATTGGAAAATGTGTTCAAGATTGCACTGTTTACATCGGTGAAATGTTCAAGGACGAACTTCAAGGTTCACCACAGTATTAGACGTACCGACAGAACGGCATTCCTGTCGGACACAGCGGCACACACGATTCAACCAACCACAGTGGGATGCGATGAAGTCTCACCTATTTTCGTATACTATGCCGTGCACGCTTGTCTGGTGTATCGTGTTTTGCGTTGCATCGACCTCGGTTTATCTGGTCGTTGTATCTAAACGACAATACCGGCACAATACCAACGATATCTAGGGCAACGGCTGGAATAGGTAGCATTTGACGGTGACGTGTTAATACGTTGTTCTTGGACAATAATACTTGCGAGTACCATGCCGTGCCGCAGCGCCCTGGACCAACAGCTCGGCCAACCAGGACGTCGCTCTCGTCACCACCTCACTGATGAACCTCACCTCACCCTGCTGACACGCCCAGGGGAAGCTCCTCCCCCTGGCCGCCTTCTTGTTGAGCATCGTGTCCGTGTCTACCCTGGCCTCCAGGTTCTCCTTCCGAACCTGGAGCCTCGCGTGTTTCTCCGAGAGCGGCATCTTGTACCCCTGGACAACGATCGACATCACGAAGCTCATTGGGCGGTGTAGATGCGTAGTAACGTTGATGGTTGTGGGTGTGTCTGTAGAAACCATCGCCGTTCGAAATATAACCATAGCTGGATAAGAGAAGATTTGGGCGACAAAATATACTCCATTGGGATTTGAAGGCCCAGCAAGCACGTAGGGTGGGTTGAAGCGCGAAGCGGGATATTTGGTTTACTTTTGAGCAGTACTGTAGGTGGCCGTCATGTTGCGAATAACCACTAACCCAGAGATCGATACTCTCTCTTCAGGGTCGCTCTACAAACAAACCCAAGAATACTTGAAGCGCTGTCGACCCGTTCCACCTGCTGCCCCACCCCCTGCCCCTGACGACATCAAGAAAACAACATCCCACAAGCGATCTCAACTTGCTTCACCCCAGGTCAACAACGTACAAGGCCGTCGTCGTTTGTGTTCCCAGCACTACCTTCCGCCCAAGACTCGAAACACACAACAAAGGGAATCCCCTCGTGGCGCAACATTCTCTCAACACCTGCCGAAGCAGGACCGCCGGCAACAAGGTAACCCTTCTTTGTAGCGGCAGACGAAACTTTCTGGGAGCCGATACCCTGTCTCGCCGGGGTGTTAGCCCCGTTCGACGTTTCCCGTGCCCACTTGCTGCTCCACCACATTTTCCTCGCCTCACTACGCCTACAGCTGTCCCCTTGCTTAGCGCTCGACGTAGAGATTTTCGTGTCGAAGCGTCCGGGACTGGTTGTGGTAAGGCGAGTTACCAACGTTGCTTGCACAGAGACGTAAAGCGTGTGCTGGAGGGAGTGCTGTAGGGTATCTTCCTGTGCATCGTTGTCGTTTATACGATGGGGAAGCTAGAGCCCATAGTTCTTCTTCCTGCGTCTAGTGATCGACACCCTTGCGCCTCGCTCTGCTTGAAGACCGCGTGCAGTGCTACTCCCTACTGTGGGTTGCCTACCTGTTCCTGGTGGACATATCTTCGGGCCCTTCATGTTGTCACTCAGGGCAGCTATCCTTGCGGCCAGGGCTTCTACCTCGCCATCACCGTCCTCGTCGTCATTCCTCGGACGATTTTCCTCTTCCGACGTGGCCACTTTCGGTCTCGCGTAGGCTGATTCCCCGCTGGATTTGAGCGACTCTCCTGTGTTGATTAGCAAGTCGTGCAGCTCGTACGGGTACCAGTTTTCCTCCTCTGCCTTAACCTTGAATATGCCGATGCAGCAGTATGGAGTGGGTACGTTCTTCCTTGCCATCTCCTTTGTGCCTTCCCTGTGCCCTGATGAGGGCACGCTCGACACGGACGGTGGGTGTAATCAGTACCACAGTGCCGACCCACCGATTGGGCCATTTGATGTAGAGTAAGACCAAAACGCATTCGTGATCTCAAAGCTGACTAATATACTGCAGACGCAGCGCTCAATAACTTGAATTACGTTGTGACTATTCCTGAAGGAAGGACGGCTGGACGTTTCTCGTCTTAAGATCGACCCAGAAGAACAGTCCTGAAGAACAGCTGCGTGTGTGCTCTTCAGCAAGAGAATCGAGGCCGTACAAGGGTAGTTAGGAGCTGTGAGCGACGGTGCATGAATGGATGGGAACGTACAAGCAAGACTATTTTGTTTTTGTAAGCGTCCGCGTCGTTGGTCCGGTAAGGATACTAGAATGCACTGACCAGAGACCGGAAAGGTTTACAATGTGAAACAATAACGTGTAGCTTTTTGTTGTTCAGGGTTGGGGTTGGGGTCTACATTAATATGGTGTACACTCACCCACAGCCAAGACGCGCGAGAAGCATTCACCGTCGCCATCGCTGCCTGCTCCTTTCTTCTCGCAGGCCTTGGCGGCTAGCCACTCCGCAGCGCCTTCAAATGAAGTGGGTGCAAGCGGATCCGTCGGCACGATGGTGACCCCCGGAAAAGCTTCGATGATGTCTTTGTCGGTCATAAGAGTGGCCTCGGCGCTTGAGTAGCCAATTTCTGACAGCGCCGCGGTACATGAGCAGAGACCTGGCACCACCTGCAGCGGGAGGTTCCCGAGGCTCTGCGAGATGCAGACAGCTGTCTGCACGGCTCGAAGCAGTGGTGATGTGTACACAATGTCGAAGCTCCCCGGTTGCTTCTGCTGCCGGTTGAACGGCAGGCCTTTGAGATGCTCTCCGGCTCTGCACGCCTGCACATGACCGTCTCTGGTGAGGAATGGATCAAACCACCCGCCTTCATTACACCTTGGTGACCTTTCCCAGGCCTGCTGCTCCTCTCCCCATACTTCGTCACATCGCTCGCCGTGTCGCACGTGCCACACCTCATTGGTCCGCTTGCTTTGTACGCTTCCAACTCGAACTCTTCGGTCCGGTTTCGCTGCTGCTGCTGCTGCCGCTACGGTGGCTTCTGACGACATCCTTTCCTTCAACCTCCTGTCTGAAAAGCTTTGTGTAATTGCACGTATATTTCCTAAGAAGTTCACGTCAACCGCTGCCGGTGCTTCACGGCGCCCACGAAATTATTGCCGAGCAGGCATCAGAGCGAAGTCGGCGGACGACGACGAACGAACGCGAACGTTTTTGTGCTATTACTGTAGCACGTTGCGCACTACACGTCAAGTAGTTGAGAGACGAAGCGGAGCTTGCCACCCCACAAGACGAGAACAAAATCATTGCAGTTGCTGCCTGCTGCATGTAGGGGGCAATTGAGTATGCAAATGTACAAATGTACTGCTGATGTTGACGGGTATCATCCGTGGTCGGTCGTACTGGAAAAATTGTTGGCGGTTTCAAGAATGCGGCGCAATCAGAACGGAGGAGAGGGAGAGGGAGAGGCAACAACGTGCTGTTGTCACACATTGGCAGCAAGCTCGTGTTTAGCGTCATGCGTGGGGCACCACCTCTGCTGCTGGTAGCGTCTCTGCTGGTCCCGCCTGGCTTGTCCCACACCGTAGCGTTGGATGCAAGACGCGGTAGGCAAGCTGGGCAACATGAGCTGCTGTTGCCGAGCACCGCACGATCACAAGCGGCCCCCCGCAGCAGGAGAATAAACAGCAGCAGCGACAGCAGCGGTGCTGCTGGTTTGCTTAGGGGCGGGGACGGTGCAGGGCCGGCAACGCGATCATCGTTAACAGCAGAGGCCGGCAGCGGCCTCAAGGACAGGGCCCGCGTTCTGGGATACTTCGGCCTGTGGTACGCCCTCAACGTCTGGTACAACATCGTCAACAAGAAGGTCCTCAACGCGCTGCCGCTGCCCTCCTCGATAGCCGTCCTGCAGCTCGGGATCGGGAGCCTGTGGGTGGGGACCCAGTGGCTTGTCCGTGCGAGAACGCCGCCGGGAAAGCTCGCCGCCACGGGCGCCGCCCGCCTGGCGCCGGTGGCCTTCTTCCACGGGGGCGGCCAGCTGGCGACGGTGCTCAGCCTAGGGGCAGGGGCGGTCAGCTTCACCCACGTGGTGAAGGCGATGGAGCCGTTCTTCTCGGCGCTGGTGGCAGCGGTCTGGTTCAGGCAGATCTTCCGGTGGCAGGTGTACGCGTCCCTGCTGCCCGTCGTCGCGGGAGTGTCGCTCGCGTGTGCGAAAGGTGGGAGAGAGAGATTTGGCGTCTAGTATTTATTATGTGATCGTAGGTTGTACACGGACAGATGCATGAAAAGATTAGACTGAAGTTTTCATGAACAACCGCAGTTCTGCGGACCAACGCCGTAGGCTACAGCAGTTGTACATGTAAACTCTTAAATGCCGTAGTCTGCATATCGATACGCAGAACCGGCCGTTACGCCGGAGCAGGCGTGAATCTCGACGAGGGGGCAATAGTGGAAGGTTTCTCTACTCTCTGTATCGAATGTGAACATTTCGTCGTCGATGGGTTTCCCCCGCTTCGCTCGAATGTAAAATATCCCGATGACCCGATGAACTTTTCGCGCGCGAGGTTGAAAAACTGGGCCTGAAACTGCACCTGAAGCTGGGCCTCTCGATCCGCCAGCGTAGCGCACACGATCCTTTACTGGTGATCCAGTGGCCGTGTGCGTTGTGTGCGGTGCACTTCGTACGCTTGGTGCAGTTTAACAAGTGGACGTCCGTTTGGCGGAGCTTTGGCGACGCGAATCACCTGTTTTTAGGGACGTTGGTTAATTGCGACTGGAATGGAATCTAGCGTTCGGCTAACAACCATGGATACTTTTTCGTCCTGAAAAGAACTAACCTTGAGGCCTAGCCGTGTCTCATTTGTAGCAGCTTGAGATATTCAGCTCATATTGCTGCTCTGCGCTGTTAAAGCGCGCCAACACTAAGAGATGCACCCTTGTATCCTACGTTTGCCGGTATCCATTGAATCCGTCCACCATTCGACAACATACCGTGATGAAGCAACAACCCCTCTTCGCCCTTTCCACGTACACATCCCCCCTTTTTGATTGGAAAAGAGTGTTTGCGTTTTCCCGCCACCAGAACTGACGTGTTTTCATTTCAGCCATTTCTAATGCAAAACAACACGCACCCAACCATGGCGACCTCCCGCTGGGCCAACCCCCTCTCTCTCCCAGAGATCAACTTCAGCTGGGTGAGCTTCCTGGCGGCGATGGCGTCCAACCTCCTCTTCGCCTGCAGGGCCAACTTCTCCAAGGCTCTCATGACGCGACCCCCCTTCGAGGGCGGCGCCTCCACCTCTTCCGCTAACCTCTACGGTCTCGTGACCATCGTGTCCTTCGTGGTCTTCGCCCCGTTCGCCGCGCTGACGGGCTGGAGCAAGTGGGGGCCGGCGTGGGAGTCGGCCATGGAGAACGGTCACCAGGGGAGGGCGCTCGTGTTGAGCGTGTTGCTGTCGGGAATCTCTCACTACCTTAACAACGAGGTGAGCACCGGCGTTCTTTTTCTGCTGCCGAACCATCACGTGCCTTGACTTCGGAGGCATCACTGACCGTGGCTGTCTGACGGATCTCGCAATACGTTGGCTTTTGTTTGCTTTCCTGGGGCGGGGTGCGGGGGTGGGTGGGCGGAAGGGGTGCGTGGCGGCTCATGGCAGCCTACCGCACTCGGTCGGTAGGGGAAGTTCAAGCGGACGAGTAGCTACGGTAGCGCAAGGAACCCGTTGCGTTGCACCCCCCATGCACATCATATGTCCTCGTCATAAGCTTTCCTCTGTATTCGTTGGCCTGGGATGCAGTCGTCGACGATCGCGACCGTTATAGCGTGAAGCTTTTGGGCCATCGTGTTGGGGTCTTGCGTCACTCGAGCAGGGAGGAACCCCGAGGTCACGCCCACGCTCTCTCGGCATTTGGATCTGTATCCTTTCACGGTCGAAAAGCGTTGATTGATCCCCCAAACACACTTTCGCATCCCCTTTGTCCGACAGACTAAGTAGCACCCATATTCCCCGCCGGCACAATAAGGTGCTCTTTCGATGAGCCGCGCACGCCTGCGCCCCGCATTTTTAGTGGTCCTGGTGGTTGGGTTCTCCCGTGCCAGAAGCCGGCTTTTCTCGTCTTTGGGAGACGGAGTTGTGGGTCTCCCCCACTGTTGAGAGTTGCAGGCGTCATCGATGTTCGAGCTAGAACGTTATCCTTACAGACCGCACCGCAAGTTCCCCCGTGTGGGTGCGCCGAACAGTCGTCTTCACCCGCCCCCCTCACCCCCTCCCTCCCCTCCCTCTCGTCTTAAAACATTGGTGCCGTGTGACCTCGCCATCCGAAAAGGTGATGTACCTTGCGCTGGGCTCTGTGCACCCGACCACCCTCGCCGTGGGCAACACCATGAAGCGGGTTTTCATCGTGGTGGCCAGCCTGATAGTGTTTAAGACCCCCATCTCCAGGCTGGGTATGGTGGGGTCTGCGATCGCCGTCGGTGGCGTGCTGGTGTACAGCCTGGCGCGACAGCACTACGGTGTGTTGGACCAGGGAAAACGGCCGGAAGGCCGCAGCAGCAGCAAACGTTAGTACACAGACGCAGCGCTCTGAAAATCACCTTCGAGGTGACGTGGGGGGCGGGCGTAGTGTTGCTAGAAGACCTAGTTACCGGATGCTGTGATTCAAGACGACTCAGCGAACGGGAGTTTTTGTGGCGCATATTTGTTTGTGCTGTGCTGCAACACAGCAGCAGTATTATAGTGATCCGGTGGGATGACCGTGAACACGAGTCATTTTCGTTATTCTGTCTGCGCACTTCTGCAACTTTTGACGTGGTAAGACCTGGCGACCTCGTTCGTGTCGTAGACTATGTACGTACGAACACGAGGCGGCGCGTTCGGAAGTCACGGCACGAAGGTGTATGCATAGCTATAGTTCTCCCGCGTTTTTTGGGACTGCATGGTGAGCATGCATCACGCCTCGTGCGGGAGTCAATTTTCCACGATGGTAAAAAACTGACTCACAGTTACAATAATCGGGGAACCATTTTACTGCATTCCTTGACTCCAGCGTGGGGCTTGAAACTGTGTACACGACTTGCTGAAGACTGCGAGGAATTAGCTCGAGAGGGGGGCGGGGGGGGGGGGGGGGGTGCTCATAGTCGTGCATGCCGTAGTCGTTTGACCATTGACCTCGCATCCCTACAAAGCCGGGACGGAGCACGCCGGGTTCTCACCGGACCAGGCTCTCACATCACCAAGCGCGAAGCGCCGTGAGGTATTTGGCGAGTCGCATGAAGGGTGAGCTGCATCCTGCTAAGGGTGTTCGGCATCTTGTGCTTACTTCCTTGCGTACGGATGACAGCTACGGATGACTTAATTTATTTTCTGGTGCTTTCACTTCCAGAGACAGTTGTAAACACTGTGTAACTGCCTTGAGGAAGCTTGACCATTTTAACACAACGTGGTGCGATCATGCCCCGTTGCGCGGAGTGAGGTTTCTCGACCCCGCACAACATGATCTACTCGACCACCATTATGGTTACCGCCAAAAAAAAAAAAAACGAGGTAAAAAAAAAAAAACGGCTCGAGAGGGGGGGGGGGGGCATTGGGCGCTGGATAAGGGTGAGAGACTTGCGCAGGATGCGGTGTCTTCAGTCCTTGTGTGTATGGGAACTGCTGTGTGCAGATAGTTTTTCGGTGATTCTGCCAAAACCTTGCATTGATTCGAGCCGGAGCAGGCTCCGGGGAGGCTGAGGCGTACCGGGGACACACACACATGACAATCAATCGCCACTGATGCAAAAAACAGCAAGCCAGGGGTAGCCCTCGGCCAGACTCGGAAGGCGCCTTGCCAATGTTCTGCTCAGGATAAAGTTACGGGTGGCGAGAGGCGGCACACCGTCCGCTCGGGATGACGAAACACGGATACTCACCGCGATGTTTGTCGTGGGTGGTGGGGGATCGCATCTTCAACTTGAGCATACACGGAGTAATATCGACAACGTCGGCCACTGTCACAGAAAAAAAAAAATCGACGAAATATCATCACAGTACGGCTACCCCACTCTTTCCGTGTGCTCTACATACATTGACGGCCAACGGTTACGTCCATCCTAGGCCCGAGGCAGGCACCACCCCGTACCGGTACAAGTCCCCGCCGCTTTGCCGCCCTGTTTTTTTGTTTTTTTCGGCTATACGACGCGAGAGCGTGAAATGCAAGAAACAGTGGTTGAAGAAGGGTTGCGGTCGGTCAATGTTGAGGATCCTTCGATGGGACCAACTTTGTTTCTCCCGAAGAAAACGCAGACGAAAGGGAAAACACACACGTGCTTGCTGCCCTTGCTGGCTGCTGAAAGACGAGAGAAATCGGACTAAAAGGCGATGTCAGTCCTCGCGCCATATCGGTTGTCTTTTCAAGAACAACGGGCAATGGCCATCGGGACATGAACTGACGTATGCAACACCAACTCATTGCTGTTTTTGTCATCACCTCACGGCGGGGAGACATATGATACACGCCCGAGACAGCAGTTTCAAGCACACGCTCAAGCTCTCGACCACAAAAGCACAGCGCAATCTCTCCGTCTTTTGGAGACAATGGGAACCCGTTGACATCCACCCTCCAAACGAGCCCTCCCCCCGTTCAGACATACGAAACTACCCTTCCACGCTCCCGGCCCGCGGTCCCTACACGTACCATAGCGGGCGCAAGTGGCCAGTTCCGTAACGCGAAGCTTTGACATAGATAGGAGGTCTCCATACACAACAGACAAAACGATACCACGCATGACATATATTCGTCACAAGCCAGATTCGACGCTACCTGCCATACACTACCGCGGGCGAGCGCACGATGTTCGATGAACAATCTACTTACACTTACACCTTGTTCTTCTCAGAATTCGCTTTCCGTGGGAAGGAGAAGGGGGGGCGTTTCCCGAAAGGACGCAAAAAATATTCCTTCCCTTGGTCCGTCAAAGCACCAAATAAAGGCAAATTAACCCCACAATATACCGCCCCGTTGTCTGGACATTGCGCGTATCCCCCAACACCAACAGGGCGTGAAACAAAGAGGCTTGCCTCTCCTGACGCAACTCGTAAGCCTCTGCTTAAGCAATTCGTAAGACATCGCTCGGCAGAGGCAAACCCGGCTTTGCGCCATGTGCAACAAGAGGAGCGCTCGCCGCCCGGCTGTCGACCTCGACTACTTCACGAGTTGCATTCGGGACGGTATTATGCCAAGGCTACTTGAGACGATCAAAAACAAAAAACACGCAACGCGAAAAAAGGCACCGGTATGCACACGCCCCCAGCCACCACACGTGCTAACCCCGCACGCTATTTGTACTGCTACTGCCGCTGCTGCTGCTGCCCTCGCTGCCGGCGGAACACGCCCGGGTAAAAAAAACACTCACAACAACCACCACACAACGGCAACAAAAAAAGGGTCAAAATGTGTTCAAACTACCGTATATACGACACAAGATAACACACCCCCTGGCTCGACTTTCAAAGCTCGATTTCATCAACAGCAGAAAGAGTGGGGGTGCCGAAAACAGCGGCGTTGAAGCCTTCTGGTCGAGAGCTCCCCGAAAACGTACCGTTTCGTTTGTACATCCTCTTGGTTGTGGAGAAATCGAGCTTTGAAAATGGGTCCAGGGGGTGTGTTATCTTGTGTCGTATACGGTAATGGTGTTGACTTAACCCTTGACACTCCCCGGCGGTTGTACCGGTGGACAAGCTGTCCAAAGCGGAACCATTACTTGTCGACCTCTGCTCCCCGCAATGAACAACCTCCCTCCTCCACCGTTTTGTTGACGACTTCGCAAAAGACACAAAACAACCGAAATGAGGGCAAGGCTGCAGGCTGTCGCTCGAGCCCCTCGATGCATTTCCACAGCGACCGTTCAAGACGAGCAGCCAAAGTGTCCACTTCAAGTTCCCTCCCTGGAACAAAAATTTAAAATTGACTGCGCAGTGAGGCTTCACCGCGGTAAGCCATGCCCGTCTACACTCCATCCACGGTCATCTCGGGCACACCCCAGCCGACTTCCGCGTCGTGCAACCGCCGTGCCATGGCTTACCTCACCGTGAAGAAAACACGAGTGAATGACTCTGCGGTGAAAGGCAGGTGGGGGGGTCGATATTATCGGGTCAGAAGCCGACAATTTAGCTCGCCGCGAAGCAATCGGTTTCACCCGCCGCAGCAGCCCTCCCCTTGTGCCCATCCATCCCCATCCGCGTGAACCCACCATCGATCTTTCACAACCGTAAAAGTCCCGCCGCCGGTACTGTCGACACGGCTTCGCGGCAGCAAATCGCCATTGATGCCGCCCACACCCCCCTCCCCCGGTATACCGCTCTGTCCCGGCCTTGTAGGGAGGCGAGGTCAACGTGTGGCATGCGTTTACATGAGTGCAACCCTCCCCCCCTCCCCCCCCCCCTTCCCCCTCTCCGAGGGCGCTCTTCTGCTGCCGGCTGTGGTCGACCGCTTTTCGGTATGCGCCCCAACATCTCCTGCTTCACTAACATCCCCCACTCGTCCTATCTCTCATGCAGGCTCCGGTGCTGGTCGCGGGACCAGTCTCTCATCCAGGAGGCGCTGCACCAAGTCTGATGGGGCCGTACAGAACAAACTCGCTGGGTAAACGGCGGAGCCCCACTGGGGGTGCAGCAGGACCTTGCAGTTGCCCGCGTTCATCACCTGCGTGCAGATCGGAAGGACATGTTGGGTGTAATCAGCTTTGGCGTGTAGAGGTATTTTTCCTGTCCGTAGGCCGGTGCTCCTCTTTCGAGTTGTTACTGTCATCAAAAATCATTCCGAACTGAAGGTATGTAGCTCACTTCCTGTTAAGATTCCCCGTCTCGTCGAAATCGAACAAACCAGAGGTGCGTGGTTGAAGCGCGCGCCGCCGTCCAACGTTCGCTACCCCCTCGACTTCCCACGCGCAAGAAGAAGAACAATAAACGCCACGCCAACCAAAAACAAATGCCCGTCTCTGCATCTCCCACTAAAAGGGGGCGGAGCGGGGGGGGGGTTCACTCGACCCTTGTGCCCACCTGGTACTGCAAGAGTAGCTGCATGCCTTCGACCTCGCTGTAAACCTTGGTGCCACCGCTGAGCATCTGGTAGATCGGTTTTCGAAGACACGCCGTCGGGTGGCATTACGGCATGCGCGCGCGCATGCCCGCGTCAAGAAATAGGCACCAAGTTTCGTTGGGGTCCAAAAGAAAATATGGAACGACACAGAGTACGAACGCCAAGAAAGAGGAGGGGGGGAGGGGAGGGGGGGGGGGGGGGGCCTTTTCCGGGGGTCCCCCCCCCCCCCCGCTAAAAAAACCCTAGCATTGGTGGTCAAAAAACGGGAGGAAAGGAAAACCCCCCCAGGGGGGGAAAAACCCCTTCCGGGCCCTTTTTCCCCGGGTAATGC